TGGGAGAAGGCGAGGGTGGGATGTTTCAAGAGAACAGCATCGAAACATGTATATTATCTAGGGTGAAACAGATCAGCAGCCCAGGTCGGGTGCATGAGACAAGTGCTCGGGCCTGGTGCACTGGGAAGACCCAGAGAGATTGGGTGGAGTGGGAGGTGGGAGGGGGGATTGGGATGGGGAATACATGTATATCCATGGCTGATTCATGTCAATGTATGACAAAAAATACTACAATATTGTAAAGTAATTAGCCTCCAACAAAAAAAAAAAAGATAGCCTTATGATGTGGGCTTTATTATCCTTGTATTCCGAGTGAAGACATTAGGTTTGGCAAGACGACATGGTGGATGCAGGAATGCCCCAGCGTGCTTGCTTCTCTGTGCTTCCCCCCACAGCCAGAACACAGCCAAAGGTGGCTCCATGGGACATGGGGCAGCACAACCCCTCTATATAGACCACAGGGAGAGGAGCTATCTTGGATATAAACTCATGAGCACTGTGGGGGGACTCTGTACCCCATAGTTGCAGAGATGGTCTAACCAGGCTCTCAGATGAGACTAGGAATGTTGTGTTTTGTTTTGTTTTTGATACTTACAAAATGTTGGGTTTTAGTTTTTTGTTTAAGAACTCACACTCTAACAATGGCTATGCCAATAGTGTCAAAGTAAAGTAGATGATTATTTCTGTTGTTGGCTACATTTGAAAAAGATATTTTAAAAAGGAAAAATTCTAACCAAAAAAATCTTGACAGAAAAAAATCTACATATGCCTGACCTGGGAGGATCAGTTTTTAACAATTGTAAGTTAGCTGGCTATTTAGATAACATCTTGCTTCTATTTAGCCATGTGGACAAAGCCATATTCTATTTGCATGACTGCGTGTTGCCCTTGGGACCCTGACCTGAAGCTCTAGTGTTGGCTTTCCTAATCCTTTTCTCCCCTCCTTTTGTAGCTGACTTCAAAAACAAACTATCTTCCCTTTAGAGATCATGCATAACCTTCACAGCCATCTCCCTCTTTGATTTAGCAGTTTGAGAAAATGGCATGTAACATACCTAACCAACGACAGCGGACAATGTCAACATCTGGAAAAGCTCTGTATGAAATTCTTGGTCTGCATAAAGGAGCATCAAATGAAGAAATTAAGAAGACCTACAGGTACAGAGGAAGTTCAATGATGGCATTTCCTGTACTACTAGTGATAGCTATGTTGTGATTGGTGAGTTTCAGAGACATAAGCTTCCTGCTGAGGCCTGGTAATCAGAGCTTTGGAACTCATGTTCCATTCCCTGTTCTACAGCTGAGCAGTTGGGAACATAGAAGGATGATGCTGATTTTATGAAAGAACTCTCCTGTGATGCTGGAAAGGTAGTCTTGTGTTCTAGGCCTGTGTTATTAGAGAGAGAGAGACAGACAGACAGACACCGCGAATGACCAGGAGTTGTGGTTAACTGACATGAGATAGCACCACCAAATATGGCAGAGGATTTTAAAAACATAAAGCGGGGTTTCTTACAACTGCTGTATTGTGCTATGCTTTTCAAGTCTTCCATTTTGATCTTTCATATCTGATCTAGTTCCAACTCAGCTGTTTTTGGGAAAAACCGAAATAACTTTTTCTTAAAAGCATCAAGGAATTTAAAAAAGGATTAAGTATAATTGTTTTGCAAAATTTGGAAATTACTAAAAATGAAAATAATAACATTTATCCATAATTTTACCTCTCCTGACGATCACTGAAATTTTTCTTCCAGTCTTTAAAATAAAATCTAGATAATACAACTCCTACATTGTCCCCCCTCTTGGTCTCTGGTAGCCACTAGTTTGTTCTCTATATCTGTGAGTCTGCTTCTTTTGTGTTATATTCACTAGTTTATTGTATTTTTTCATTCTTAAAATTTTTTCCAGATTCATGCCTTTTATATTTTAGAAAAACATTTTTTTCTCTGTTCTATTTTTTATTTTTATACAATTTTTAAAGATTACTTCCCATTTACAGTTACTACATATTGGTGATATTCCCTGTGTTGTACAATACATATAGCCTAACTTAAATTCAGCAGTTTGTACCTCCCACTCTCCCACCCCTATACTGGGTGCAAGTATTTTTTTGAATTAGAGGTTTTGTTTTTTTTCAGATACATACCCAGGAATGAAATTACAGGGTCATATGGCAGTTCTACTTTTAGTTTTCTAAGAAATTTCCATACTGTTTTTCACAGTGGCTATACGAATTTATATTCCCACCAACGAATTAGCTTTCTTTTTAAAGAGGATCTATCATGAATATAGGTGCCGTTTAATATTGTGATTTTTAATGCCTGTAGCCTAGGCTATTCTGTAACTTAATTAACAAGCCATTAAAAAAATATTTTAACTTATTTATTTGGCTGCATTGGGTCTTAGTTGTGGCTTATGGGATCTAGTTCCCTGACCAGGGGTTGAACCTGGGACCTGCACTAGGAGTGCAGACAGTCACTGGACCACCAGAGAAGTCCCATGAGCTATCTTTTAACATGTAAATTCTTTTAATTTACCCTATACTTAATGTCCTTGTACATAAATGGTGATGCATATTTCCACTTATTTCCTAACTTACTGAAAAATAAAACTGTGCCTTTAGAAGAAAAATGAATCAAAAGACAAATGAAAGTTTCAGATTTTAATCAGTCACTTCTTAATTTGGCCTTGAATTAGGAAAACTTTTTCTTTTTCTTTTTGCTATATGGAAGTTTAAAATCTTTAAGTAGGCAAATTTGTTAGTCATTTCCTTTATGGCTTTTGCATAATCTGTTGTGGTTAAAAAGCCTCTCTCTACTATAATATTATAAAAATATTTAACCATTATCTTCTTTTAGTACATTTATAATTTTGCTTTTATATTCAATCTTTGATACATTCGGAGTTTATTTTGGCATGAGAAATGAAGGTAGGATTGCAAATTATGTTTTTCCTAAATCACTAGCCCACCAAAATTTATTGAATTCTCCATTTTTATCTACTGATGGATAATTCTTTGACTTTGGATTAGAACCTTCACCATGTGGTAAGCTGTGGGACCTGAAATGCCTTCAAGAAGCACATGTTGAAAAATAAACGACAGCTGTGAAAACTGCCATTTGGACCCAAATAGTTCTGTGAAATGGTATATTTCGATCAAAGTCAATATCAAACTTCTAGTTTACTTCACTTAATGTGCTAGACAAGTCTTTGCTGTTTCATTGCACCCTAGAGCTGCCCAGGAGTGTGGCTGGAAGCTGTTCGGCTTCCTGTGTGTAGATGTCCTTGGTGAAGGTCATTAAACTTGACGTTTAAGGCTCTGGGCTGAGACACTGTGCTGGGGGTGAGACTAGGAATCAAAGTAAATGCACAATAAGCATAATACCTACAAAGATGCTTCCCAAAATGAGAAAAAAAGTGATGTCTAACTATAAGTTCTAGAGCTCACTTTACAAATGTGACTTTTAATTGCCTTTATTTTGTAAGCTGAAATTTCAGGTCATATCCTAATTAAGGCACTAATTATGCTGAGTAGTTTGCAAGTTTAATCATTACAACCTAAAGTCTCTTCATGTAATCAGTGTCTTCCTATTAATTTTGTTTTAATGTCATACAAATATTATTTTTTCAGCTGATTAGGATACTAGTATGCTGCCAAAAGTCTCTCCTTCTAACTAAATTACATATTTGTATTCTGCTAGTTATTCAAAATGTATGAGCAGGCTGAAAAATCCACTGAGAATAGTATTCTTATATTCAGAGATCTGGATCAAAGCAGTGACAATACAGTGAAATTAAAAGTCAGTGAAGTTTAATAAAATTGCCAACTGTTGAATCTATATGCTGCTTGACCTCTGTTGTAATCCTTGGTTGTGCTCTTGAATAAGATTGAGCTAGAAATTTTACTTTGTTTTTGAATACATAATATATTCACCTGATTAACATGAGATCACATAAAATGAAAGTGTTAGTTGCTCAGTCGTGTCAGACTTTTTGTGACTCCATGAACTGTAGCTCATCAGGCTCCTCTGTCTGTAGAATTCTCCAGGCAAGAATACAGGAGTGGGTTGCCATGCCCTTCTCCAGAGGACCTCCCTGACCCAAGGATCAAACCTAGGTCCCCTACACTTCAGGCAGATGCTTTACTATCTGAGCCATCAGGGAAGAATACATAAACAGGTATGCAAGAAAAGTCTCCTTCCTACCTCATATCCCCCAGGCTCCCTACCCTGGGAAAACAATTCCTTGTGTACCCTTCTACAGAGAGATCTGATGCCTATATAAGCACATCTAGAGACCTCTGGTCTAGGAAAGATGGTATAGGCTTGTCTCTCCCAGTTCCTCATGCTAAACATGACAAAAGGTTTGGAAATAACTCAAGAGACAAAAAAGGAGAACCTTCGAAAGGTAGAAGGAAGAAGAAAAGGTGAATTCGTTAGGGACCACAGGAGGCCTCTGCTGACTCCACATCTAAGAAAAGGTAAGGCAGGCCTGGCCTTTCCCGACACCCCCCGTAGCAATGGAAGGCGGCCAGGTGGCCCTTCACTTCCTCCAAACCGAACGGGAGCCCTGCCAACAGCTCCAGGCAATCCCCACAGAAACGGCCAAGAGGACCCGCTGAATGTCTCCCTAACGACGGCCAGGCAGAGGACTTTCCCACCTGCCTGAGACTCCCCTCTCTCACCAGAGACCCCACTTTACAGGGGAAATCACCGCCCAGGGATTCTGCCACAACAAACACCCAGCCCAGGAAGTGTTTTTGTCCCTGCCCCTGGGGATTCCCTTTCCCCACCTAAAGGCACCAAGGCACCCAGCCTGGAGAGACCCATTTCACTTCTTCATCTAGAACCGACCAGCACCAGCAGGGGCCCCGGAGGCAGGAGATGGACCAAGCCAACCAAAACTACACCACAGGGTCTGAAAATTAGGCTGTCATTGGAACCACCGACCACAAAAGTAGGCTAGGACCTGCAAGCTCAACTAGAACAAAGGGACTGTCCGTTAGAGTAAAAAATTTAAATAGGACCCAGAGGGGCTTCCCTGGTGGTCCCGTGGTTGACAATCTGCCTTGCAGTGCAGGGGACTCCGGTTTGATCCCTGGGCTGGGAAGATCCCACATGCCACAGGGCACGTAAGCCCATGCATCACAAGTACTGAGCCCGTGCCCTGGAGACCACGAGCCACAGCTGCTGAGTCAGTGCGTGGCAACTACGGTAGAGCTGGTGCTCCACAAGAGAAGCCGCAGCAATGAGAAGCCCGCACACGGCAACCAGGGAGCAGCACCCGCTCACCGCAGCTAGAAAAAAAGCCCGGACAGCAACAAAGACCCAGCATAGTAAAAAATAATAAATAAATAAATAGTTTTTTAAACTATAGTGTCTTATTTAAAAAAAAAAAAGAAACCAGAGTGTCATAACACAATAGCCAAAGTGTCTAGATTAAAATCACTTATTGTATACAAGGAAAGAAGGAAATCCCAACTTGCATGAGAAAAGACAACCACCTTACTCCCATACAGAGATGAACCAGTTATTGGAATTATCTAGGCATCCTAGAGTAACCATCAAAAAAGATTCAATAAGCAATTGCAAATTCTCTTGAACCAAGTGAAAAAAAAAAAATAGAAATCTCAGCAAAGAAATAGAAGTAATAAAAAAAAGAACCAAATAGAAATTAAAGAACTGAAAAATTATAGAAATAATACAACTAACCGGATGAGCTTAGTAGTAGAGTGGGGTAACAGAGAACAGAATCAGCAGAGGACAGATCAATGGAATACATGCAATCCGAACAGCAGAAAGAAAATAAACTGAAAACAGTCACAGGAAACTGTGAGACCATTAACAAAAGACCCAACTTTTATAGCACTGGTGTCCTAGAAGGGGAGGAGAAAGAGTGGAACAGAATGAGTATTCAAAGAAATAATAACTGAAAATCCCCCAAATCTGGCAAAATAAGCAAACCTAGAAATTAAGAGGTTAAGTACATCTCAAATAGAATAAATCTAAACAAATTCATGCCAAGATACATCCTAATTAAACCTTTGAAAACTAAAGACAAAGAAAATATCTTAGAAGCAGACAGAGAAACGACATAATACCTATATGGGAACAGTAATTCAAATGACAGCAGATTTCTCATTTGAAAGAATAGTGACC